GTGTCCCAGAAGCCGGCAGCCCCGGGCAATGAGCAGCACAAGCAGCAGCTGCCTCCGTCACCTAAAGATGCTCACGGCAAAGACGATCAAGTCGTCTGGGGGAAGACGCCCTCCGGCGAAGGTCAGTTCCTTTCGCACCCACCGTGATCGTTTCGCTTCTCTGACGCGCAATGGCTCTACCTAGTCTTCCGGGTCCCAACCACCCACGACGTGCTGACGCTCTTCAACCCCACATACCCCAAGAGCCACTTCGATCTCCTGAACCTCGTGCTGCTGGGCTCACAGCTTGCGCTGTTCCTGCTCCTCCCGACCCGCGTCGCCAAGATCTTCTTCTTCTGCTACTTCGCGTTCTGGCGCGCAGCCTACGACGCGGGGCTCGGCTGGGTCCTGACGAAGCAGAGCAAGAAGAAGTGGATCGTGCGCGAGGTGCAGAAGTACGGCTGGCTCGACCCCGCGCGGCGCCCCGCCGCCCGTGAATGGATCAAGCGGCAGCTGGTGGGCAAAATGGGCAAGGATTATTCGTTCGACGTCAGTCTCGCTTTCCCTCCCCCTCGTGTGCGGCCGGATCATAATGCGTGCTTTACTCTAGGAATTGCCATTGGAATACAACACGTGGCTGCTCTTCCGCCAGGTGGTCGATGTCATTCTCCTCAAGTGGGTGTACCCATCTGTCCCGGCGCTTCTGACCTGTAATGCGCCTGCAGTGACTTTCTCGCATACTGCATGTTCGCGTTCTCGTGCTTCCGCGTCCCGGACGGATTGACCATGTCGATCCACATCTTGCGGTGCGCGGCCTCTTGTCAGATATGATCTCATCACCGAACACCTGTGCAGATGGATCGGCGGCTTCTTGCTGATCGGCTTCAATCTCTGGGTCAAAACCGAGGCACACAATGTCGTAAAGGACTACGGCTGGTACTGGGGCGATGTCTTCTTCCAGCGCGGTGCGCTCGTTTTCGACGGCGTGTTTGAGTTGGCTCCGCATCCGATGTACTCTGTCGGTCAGCCTCCACCCTTGCTTTTTGAATTCCAGAAGCTGACTGTTGCCGCTAGGCTACGCGGGTTATTACGGTCTTTCTCTCATTGCGGGCAGCTATTCTGTACTCTTCGTCAGTCTGGCCGGGCACGCCGCCCAATTCGCTTTCCTCGTCGGCTTTGAGAACCCGCGTATGTGTTTTCCACAACTCTTGCCATTCTCTCGCTGATAGCTGAGCAGACATTGAGCGATTGTATGGTCAGAGAAAGCCGATTGCCAAACGCATTCCGGTGAAGCCTCGCGAGAGCAGCGCTGCTGACGTCCCCCTTCTCGATCTGGACGATGACCTAATCCCGACGCCCTCTGTAACAGAGGGCGAGACAGCTTCGGAGACCGAGCTGGAGACGGAGACCGAGGGTGAAATGGAAGACGACACTGCGACCAGCCGCCGACCCGGACACTTCCACAAACCCTCCATCGGAAGCACGATCTCGTTCGAGGACAAGCCGAAAGCGGTGTCGCAGCACGACCTGCTCACCAAATACTTCCGCCGGGACACGATAATCCTCAAGAACTTTGACTTGCTCCGGTGTGTGCTAGTCTCGTTTTTGAATTGGGTAGTTGCCAATCTCTGATCCGGTCTCCCTCAGTGCGAATGACGTCACCCTGGCCCTGATCCTAGCCTACTCCGTCGCGTTTTCAATGATGCCCCCTCTTTCCGACACGGCGGCGCTGGCCTTGCATTTCGCGCACGCGCTCGCGTGGTCGCTCGTGCACTGTCTGGGGCTGGGCGCGCTGCTGCGTGCGCAGAGCCAGAACAAGTTCCTCGTGCGGCACTTCATGAAGCACTACCACTACCCCGCGAGCGACGCCGGCCGCGGTGCGATCGTCGAGGCGTTTGCGAACTGGAAGACGATGTACAACCTCACGCTGTGCATGTCGTATGTGTCGTTCGTCGGCGTTGTTTGGCAGACCTACGCGATCCCCGGGGATTGGACCGTTGGCGTAGAGCTCCTGAGGCACACCGTGGGAGCACTCCTTGTTGGGCTGCATCTCTGGGCTGCGCTCGAATGTTTCGAAGTTCTGGGTGTCTTTGGTAAGATCTGCTCTGGCTACTTCTTGGCGCCTGCTGAGACTCTTCAGGCTGGTTCTTTGGTGACTTTTTCATGGAAGAGTTTCCTGCTCATCTCGAGTACACGGGTATCTACCGGTATGTTCTCATCGACCCACATGTTTTATACCAACCTGGTCAACTCGCGCAGGTACCTCAACCATCCCGAGATGATGGGGGCTGCTTCTTGGTTCGGTCTGGCACTCGTCAGCGGGAACAAACTGGTTCTTGCGTTGGCTGTCATCCGGCACCTTTCCCAGTGGTGGTTCCTCATCTTTGTCGAAAAGTGCGTGTCCCAGTACCATCTCGTCTCTCTCTCTCTCTCCTGCTGACCGATGCATTGCAGCCCCCACATGCGCAAGTTGTACGGGGACTCGCTGCGCAAAGACGCCGGATTCGTCAAAGTCATCAAGAGCGTTGCCAGCAAGAACGCGCGGCTGCTCCAGAAACGGGCCCGGCCCGAGCTCCGGCACGTTGCCAAAGTCGTCAAGGAAGTCAAAGGCACATTCGACAAGGTCTACGAGGAGACGGCTGACGTGGTCGAGGAGTTTTTGGCCAAATGTAGGCATCGGCTCGATTCGTTGTGTGCCAGATGATTTGCTGACCCAGTATCCATCAGCCAAACCGCGGTTCTCGGAGGTCGTGCAGGACACCAAAGTGCTGCTCCAGCAGTCCCGGGAGCGGCTTGTCATCACGCGCGTCGCGAATAACATTGACACGATCGACGCGTCTAAATACCAGTTGACGGCGGTGCCGAGTCTCGATGGCTCGTTGCGCTTCCACCTCGGAGAACCCGTGCAGTTCAAGTGGCAGGCACCGACCTCGCATTCGCGCAAGGACTGGGTCGGCATCTACCGCGTAAGGATGCCGCTCAGCATGTGTTCTCATTCCGTCTGACTGACTGTGACCCATTCCAGATCGGCGCAAACAAGTCGACGCTTGTGACACGCACCAGCTCGATGGGTCTGTGGGTTCCGGTACACGGCGAGGAATGGGACGGAGATGTGCCGTTGGGCATTGTTAGCCCTGGTGCCGGGAGCAGCGGCTCGGATGTTCAAAGCGGGATGATCACGTTTAAGGGCGACACACTCCCCTGGCTTGCAGGGCGGTATGAGGTCCGGTACCATCATGACGGAAAGTACAACGTCCTGGCCTCGGTTGCTCCGATCGAGATATATGGTACGTCCTGTGCTGTCTGTGCTAGAGTCAATCGGCTGGCTGCTGACACACGGCCCCAGTCGAGAAACCCGCCGAGCTGACATTTACCTCCGTCCGCGAGAACCTGATGCACATCGTCCCGCTCTGCTTGGACTCAGACCCGTCCCTCATCCCTGCTTCCTGCAAAACGTCCATGACGCCGACTGTCTCATCGGCATCAGGCGACGACGGTCGAGACCCGGACGACTTTACCTTCTGGTCGGAGCGCCAGGCAAAGCGGATCTGCAGCGCGATTGAGCAGACGTTCGGGGTCGAGTACGCGCCGGAGGTTGTCGTGGCCGACGCTAATCTATCGGCGTTGGCGAGGCGCATTTTACAGTCCAAGGAGATATTGATGGGTTCCGGTCCGGCCGACCATACTTGACGCGTGCGGAGATTCGACAAATGGCGAGGGGGGGATCTATGTGGGGTAGTTTAATCTTTCGTAGGAGTTGAAATATCGTTGTTTGGTCGTAGTGTGGAGAGAACGCCCATACTGGATGCTGCACCCGGGACGAGGAATCGATTTGTCTCGGACAGGGGCAACCATCACTGCGCTCGTGACTGCAAACAACTCGTTGCATCTTATCTCAAACTTGCACGCATCCTCGTTTTTCGCACTAGCTGTTCCCTTATCACCAGCACTCCGCTCGCCTTACAATCCAGCAACAATGAACAAGTCCCAGTTTTATCTTTCGCAGTGCAAGGATTCGGCCGCCAAGGTCAGGGACCCAGATCTGCCTGGTCTCTGCACCAAGTCTGATGTGCACCCCAGTCCCTCATGTATTACCGCCTCGGCGCCGTTCTCGTAGGCGATCCGGTGCCCTTCCAACGCCCACCAGCCGTCTCACGCGTCTCTCTCTCTCTCAGGTGAAGGGCGGCAAAGTCATCGCGACGGGCTACAACCACCAGCGGCCGAAGTACGACACGCCCGGGACCGGCCGGCCGCTGTCCATGCACGCGGAGATGGCGTGCATTGCGAACGCGACCCGTGGCCGGGCGCCCGCGTTCAAGCAGCAGGTTCAACCGCGCCAAGGCTGTGCAGGCGCAACGACAGCATCGGACGCAGCAGCGACGAAAACAACGGCACAACCACAACCACCGGCGCTACAATCAAAACGACTACAACGAGCAGCAGCAGCAGAAGGCCGATCCGAGTCAGAGCCCCGCCGTGCCGTATCCGTCGGCACCGGGTCGTGCTTTTTATCAGGCGGGTTATCAGCGCGGCTGTCATCACGGGCTTGAGGGCGGGCGGCGTGAGCAGGACGGGGGACGGCGCGCGGTACGGAGTCAGCCGACGCGCGTTTCTTCGAGAGCTGACGGCGCGGATCTGTACGTGTGCCGCTTGGCGCGTAACGACGGGTTCGGGTGCGCGAAACCGTGCTGGCGATGGTGAGTCTGAGCGCGTCTTGCGGGTCTTCTCTCAACTTTTTCTTTACCCTGGCACTCATGGTCTGGCTTTGTTGTTCCACAGCATCGAATGGTGTGTCTGGGCCGGCGTCAGGCGGATCTTCCATTGGAGCACGGACGAGGGACGCTTCGTGTGCGTCAAGGTTGGCGGTGCGGCTCAGGAAGACTACTACGAGACTGTATCTGACTTGCGTGGCTTGTCGCTGGGACGCGACGGAGCTTGAGATGAGTCTACTGTACACAATCGATCCTGATGGTGCTGTACGCCGGAGATCCTCCGTTAGCGGCGGTACTCAATCTGAGTGATCAGCGTTTCACGAAGGACTTGAGCTGTGCGACCTTTCCGACGTCGCGGCACGTCAAACTGTATCGCGTCCCTCGCGTCAAGGCACCACCGTTCGCCAACACCTCGCGCGTTGCTGCATCGGTCACCCTCTCCCAGTTGGCGATCGGACTGACGAAATCAGCTGCACCTCCCGCCGTGAATCTGTCTTCCTTGATCTCGTGTATCCTGCGTGCCCGTTGGTCTGGCATTCCGAGCCGTGCCTGGAAGGGGGGTACGTACGAATGCAGACGATTCGAATAGAGCGAGTCCGTGGAGATCACCACCGACCTCGGCTCGAGAAGGAGAGAGAGGACAGGCGTGGGGTCTATGCTCCGCCCTCCGTGAGACTCGGGCAGCGTGTATCGATAGTAGTGGAAGACGCAGTGGGAGTTCAGCGAGATCGTCGCAACCGCCGGGTGGTATGCCGGGCCGTCTTCGTGGGGCTGTAGCTGTCGATTAGACATGGAGGGGGTGGAAGAACTTCGAGGGGGCACTGTCTACCATGATCCCTGCCCGCCGGACAGTCAGAAAGAATAGATTCGGGCAGCCCCAAGCGTGCCGTACCTTGGCCTGGCTCATACTACGCACGCGCACACACACACACACCTCAACCGTCAAAAAGATATCAACGACACAAAGCAGACAGGGCACGAACTTCGTTCCTGGAGAATCGTCAGCGCGCGTCTGCGAGGGATCGGTCGAAGGCACTAATGACATGATGATGTGATTCGGTTTCCCGTGCGGGGATCCGTGGAAGACGCCGGTCTGTTGCAGCCGGTTGATGATATCGGGGCTGATTGCAAGAGAGGTGAAGCGCAGAGCGGCACCGGGGGAGGGGGGGAATATACGCTTACTAGGTTTCCACGAATGAGGGCATCGGCTGGGCGACGAGGACGTTGTTCGACGTTAATTCGCCCCCTGCCCCGGCTGCGTGAGCTCTCCATTGGTCCTGTGACAGCCCGCGGAATCGTACCCCACAGCTGGAGCCTGTGGCCCCGACATCAACGCGGCTGCCACTTCCAAGAAAAGAACGCGCACCTACGATTGGCCAGCTGCTTCCACCGCTGGACTGGGGAATCTCGAATCTGAAGTCTCTCGTAAATACTGGGGCCAAGTGCCGGACGAAAGCCAGGCGCTACTTTGCGAATGAGATACGCCTCTTCGCCCTCCTGCCGGTGGTGAGACTCAGGACAAGATGCGCTTCTGCACAACACAGAACTGACAGTGATGAATTCCGGGATGTAGAAACATGAGTCCGAGCCAGGAATACGGTAACTCGAGAGTTCGAAGCGCTCGGACGCGCTCATGGTGGTGGTGATCATCGGCTGATGAGAAGCGCGTTATTTGCGCGTGCTGGTCCGTTTCCTAATCAGGCGATACTGTTGATTTGATGGACCATTTTTCGAGCGTTGGCGACGGGAATGGAGGGATGCACGCGTAGAACTGTGGTTTGGACGCACCAGCTTTCCGCAGAAATGCCGCTTCTAAAGCGATCACTAAGTAGGATCTCATTCCTGTCAAGTCTGTCCGAAGATTATCTCATGCTCTTCCACGTTGCGGTGATTAAACTCGCACTGCCGGAGTGGGGCGATATGGATAGGATTTCCTCGATCTCACGGGTGATTGTCTGAGTGAATCGATGACAAATTGTCTGGGGGCCTAGAATGTATTAACTCTATTTTATGCGACGTCGAGTCGCGGGACAATATGTAGATAGCCTTTCTACCGCCACATCTATTGCAGGACGATTATCAGCGGCTGGTTATTTTGATGCTTGGGCCGAGCTTCGAGGTAAGTGTTGAATGAGCACGGGAGATGACGCAATAATTTAAAGGGGCCTGCTTACACGGGAGTATACGCGCAGGGTTGATTCCGTTTTTCGCAGTTGGTGCAGAGAGGTCTCAAACCATCTGGATGCTGAGATGAGGGGGGACTAGGTAGCAGGAAATGGATAGTTTCCGCACCGCATTTTAGTTTGCGAGCTGGAGAATGAGAGTCGTGAGTCGAGATATGGTTGATTGGGCTCACTAGCGCTTTACTCACCACGGCAGAACTGACAGGCCATCGCTGTGCGACGAGGGGTGCGCGGGCTGTCGTATGCGTCGTACTGGTACACGGCGTAGTTATCGGGCTAATGGACGAGGGTGAATTGGATGTCGGGGATCGTCGCGAGTGCGTGGAACGCACCTGCAGCGAAGACATTTAGAATCGCGGGTGGCGTGTCGAGTTGGGAAGGGAGAGGTGATGAAAGTTTCGCAGGCGACTGGCTCGAGGGTGAGAGCTGAGGATGGGGGTGTATTCCACATTTTGGCGGGTTTATAAACGCGAAAAGTTTGTCTGTGTATGACAACCTCGCTGGCTATCAATGTTGGAGCTTAAGGAATCTGAATTTTCCATTGGGGACCTGTCTCGAGGATTCTACGAAAGAGGGTTATAGCGCGCTGTGTCACATTTTTTGACGATCCCGTGCATCAATCTCGGAGGTACTTGTCCTATTCGGGTAATTGACTTGCCTAAAGCGCCCACAACGAGTTTCGCCCAGTGTTCAGCACGACGAACAGTCGTATTCGCATTGGAATTCCCCTGATAATCTGGGAACCATGCTAAATCAAGCGCTGGTTGGCTCATGCGAATGCCCTGGGCAACATTGTATCGCATTCTGCGATGAACACGTTTTCAATGTTGATGGTTTCCTCAATTCCCGAAAAGGGTGCTATCACGCAATGCCGGATTGAGCTGAGAATACCGTGAGGGCCCATCACACCTAATCAAGAGCTTCGGGCGCGTGGTGGATGCAATCAGTCCTCGCGCTCGATTTCCGATCTTTTCAAAGATTCCAGGGCCCAACCCATCGCGCTGTTCTCGGAGCCTATGGGAGGCCATACTCGCCGGATCCTATGTCGCAATCCATGAAACGAAAGGAGAAAGAAAAACAAGGCGATGTCAGGCGGGTCCTCACCATGTACACATAGACTTACTTAGCTTGGGTGTCAGGGTCGATGGTTTGCGAGCGCCCTAACTTCGAAATAGCCGAAATGGACTACGCGACTCCCATTGATTCAAACTGATCGTGGTAGCCTGAGCGTTTAGACTACTTATGAAATCAAACACTTAATACCTGTCCCATACAGGCTGCCCCGGAAATTTTCAGAGGTTCACGGGACTATCTCGTAGTGAAAACAGCTAGTGGTCTACAATGGAGAGTTCAGAGGGATTGAACCATGCGTCATCGGCGCATCAAAAAACCGTGATATGTATCAGACTGCTCACGATAGAGTTCGGACTTATCACGCACGAGGGGAATTGTGCATTGCGCTCCGCACAAGCTTCGAGAAGATGGAAGAAGACGGTCGATGGGGACAGGGGTAGTCACTTCAGAGCAGTCCGCACAGGGCGAGAGAAAATTAGGCAATCACCCATTGGAGCTGGCCAAGCCGTTTGAGCAAATCCCTTGAGGTAAATACTTACAAGGACAATCACAGAACGTGGCGCGGGTTCTGCCGGGCGACAAATCATGACGCAGGAACCATGGGCCCTCAATCCAACCCAGAAGCTCAGTCTCAGCTGTTCCAAAGGGTCAGCGCCAATCTTTCAATACGTCGCACCGATGAGTCTTTTTGCATGTGTGCGTTTCGCGGATATTCGGCATCGGCCCAGAACGAACGAATGCACATGTTGTTGCCCTAGGGGCTGGACGGAGGTTCTGGCCACGTCCCTGTCCCACGCTGGAGAAAAAAAAAGAGGAAGTGGATGTCGCAGCGCAGTTTGACATCTCCATGGCAGCGTACAATCTCACAGTCAATCTGGACCCGCAATCACGCATGCATGATGACCGAAGGAACGGTGTTGTCGGGGCTGCGCAGCGATGGGAAGAGACTGATCACGGCAGACAACCTCGACCGTCATGTGTCGCGGTCTTAACATGGAGCTTCTCAACGAGATTCACCGTATGACGTAAGGCGGGTGCGCGCGCTTATGCTATCTGCAGAGCGGTGGTGATACTATTGATCGCAACTGACAGGTGTTTCTGCACCATAGAGGTGTTTTCAGTCGTTAGAGCCATTTAATGCATCTATTGCCTTCGGGTTTTTTTCAAATCATTCCTTATATACTCTCAAATGATTGTGCAAAGTCCGAGAGCAATCGGGCAAGTGCAAAGAATTGCTCGGCGCTGCCGGCGCATCAAATGAGGTGTTCTCAAGCTCATCTCTGTAATTCCAAGCCTCCCGTTGGTCATTTCAGGCCGGGTAAAGACGAGCAATATATTATTAAGTATCTAAATCGTATTCGATACACGCTTTGCTATTCCGGGCTTGCAATGGATGTGAGCAAGAGGAATTACATGTGTGGTCACAATTGTCACACTGACACAGTGATGACAGTGTGATGGCCAAACCGGCAATTGATCTTGTGCTCCCCGAGTCGCGTCAACACTCACAGAAGAAAGAATATAAGTGTGAAGTAGATACATTACATGTATTGACGACATGTGAGAGGTGCTAGACCCAGGTGGAAAGGTCCTCGAGCCATTAGTAGGTGTATAGTTTTATAAGTGTGATGTATAATGTGGATTTCAAGTCCATTGGAAACCAGATGTGTATGGTACAGGAGGCAGGAGTGAGAAAGTCGAAAAAGGATCCAAAACCAATGTGTAAGGTAGCGTAGGCTGCTGAGGAGCCAAGGACGGAGCAATCAGAGGTTGAGATGATGGGCCAGGAATAGGTTCCGACGCCAGACACACATGGCTGTCAATCAACGTGTTTGATGCGCGGAGCTTGAATTGTCACGCTTTGGCTGATCACCCTTGCTCACATCCATTGCAAGCCCGGAATAGCAAAGCGTGTATCGAATACGATTTAGATACTTAATAATATATTGCTCGTCTTTACCCGGCCTGAAATGACCAACGGGAGGCTTGGAATTACAGAGATGAGCTTGAGAACACCTCATTTGATGCGCCGGCAGCGCCGAGCAATTCTTTGCACTTGCCCGATTGCTCTCGGACTTTGCACAATCATTTGAGAGTATATAAGGAATGATTTGAAAAAAACCCGAAGGCAATAGATGCATTAAATGGCTCTAACGACTGAAAACACCTCTATGGTGCAGAAACACCTGTCAGTTGCGATCAATAGTAGTACGGTACGAGGTCTACTGCTCTCAAGGACCGACTCCCCAGACTTCCAGTCCTACACACTCAAAATCAACGTTCCGGCTTTTTGACGGGGATCCAGAACATAACGGGTCATTGTCAAAGGTCGGACACCGGGCGGATGAACCATCAAAAAGCGAATCATCCAGGTACAGTCCATAATGGCCGTCCCTGCGAAAGAGATTAGACATGATGGTGCGTGCCATGATGAGCCGCGGACGGACTGACCCTCCTCCAAATGAGATAAAGCCGTCTTCGCACAGAGCAACGTAATCGTTCCTGCCGGTCCATTTGTAAACGTTGAACTTGCCGGCGGACGGAGAATAGCGCCAGAGAAACCTGAAACATCCGCTTGGGACACCCCATTCATCTGGGCGAAGGACCAAGAAAGACGCACGATTCACCACCACCATAATAACTCCCCCGTGTGCTTCTCCTCAATCCATCTGCGAGCCAAACACCGAATACCATGTTCCCTGAGTCCTGAATTACGACTAGGGCGCCTTTGGGATGCGGTACCCTCGTGGACGCAGGCGGCTCACAGCGCGAATACAGCGTGTTCAACGAGATGCCGTGCTGGTCTAACGAATACAACAACGACCACTGCCTCGATAAACGCAACAGGGCGGGCAGATGGGGATGAATCTTGGCGCTGTTAGACGCAGAAGAGCAGGGTGCCAGAGAGACGCACCAACGACATCAGTTCCGGCATTAGCACGGGCGTCGTGCCCTCCCTCCGGCCCACGAGATTAATCAGCCCAACCATAGACTTCTCAAGGAGAACGCCCACTCCATGCCCATGCCCGTTCCCGTTCCCATTTCTGGACACATCTACCTTCGCGGAGCCGAGCACTTTCACGGAGGGATCATCCACTACCTGCTTGCTACGATCGACGCCGAGGTCGTGCTCTAATGCCCGCGAGAAACCGCGGTCCCAGTCGTAAGACGCCCCGCCACGGAAACCCGGTGCGCCAGTAGGAGCGGGCTCCGACTGCGAGTGTGACGGCGCGAATGGCGTGAAGTGTTTCAGCGCTGGCGCTCGTTGCGGCGGCAACACAACAGACTCTGACAGCGAGTCCGCAGAGGATGATGTGTGTGGGAAGTGGATGCCTGTGGGCGAGGAGACCACAGTCGGTAGGAGTGAGGCGACCCATTTGGCACCGGAAGATTTGGAGATCGTCGCGAGCGAGGCATAGCTGCTGCTCGCTGGCGGACTGGATGGATGGAACTGCTCGTGCCCTGGTGCATCGTCAGACGACGATTTGGAAGCCAGAGGTGGTGCAAGTGTCGGTCGGGTGGCTGAAGAGCGGAGAAACGAAAAGGATGAAGAGGATGATGACGCTCGCTTATGTAGTGTCGGTACTGGTACTGGGGCAGGTGTCGCCGCGGGAAGTTTAGAGAAGTAGTCGAAATCGAGGTCAGACAGTTGGTCGTCGATGTATCGATTGGGTCGCTCAGACGGTAACAAATGCTCCTCTGGATCCGGCGAAGTAGTGCGCTGCTCTTCGTCTTTGACGAAATACAATGGCTCGTCCTCATGGAGCAACAATTCATCCAACAATCCTCTGTTATTCTCTGCACGACTCTTCGTGTCTTCAAAGAACGCCTGGCTGGCCGTGCTGGGCTCGGATTCCAGCAGAGCATCCGAGAGCGGATCGTGCAACGTGGGACCAGATACGAACGAGCCGAATTCAGAGTCCGGAGACGTCGGATCGTCCACGAGGTGAACCGGTACCGGGACTGGATCGGCAACGAAAACAGGCGAAGCACGAGGCGTCGGAGGGAGGAAGCGAGTCGAAAAATGATCGAACGTCTCTGATCCAGTGTTCTCAAAAGTGGGCGACTTCGGCGGTTTGGAAGCGGGCACGGGCGTGAGTACGGGGATCGAGTCCAGCGGAGCCGTCATTTCAGAGCTCTGAGAGGTAAATCCTAGTCCGGCAACAGAGAAAGGAGATGAGAGACGAACATGAGATGGTGTGCGACCAGGCAGATTGATGGATTATATAGGTTCGTCTGCGCAGTAGCTTAGTTGCTGCGGCACAGGGTAGAGATGGCTTTGTCACCTCAAAGTGGAGGCAAGCTCCTTCACGATATCACTTCGGATGCCAGGTCGGACGCGTAACTCGAGGGAGGGGTATGCAGTTGTAAAGTGAGAGATGTCGTGTCAGAGCGCCTATCCGCGATGGGTACCCACGTTCTACGAAATGATTTGAGCGCCTCGTGGGACTGCATGTCTATAAGTAGTCCTCGCACTCACGGTGGCGATGGGAGCGGGCGCCAGGAGCAGTTCGTAAATGCGACGGTCGTGATTGGATGTGTAGAGGATTATACCTCCAAGATAATCTCGGAAGTATGGTATGACTGGAGATAACATGAATGGCCATGGTCTCCGCGACGGGAGGTGCACTCAACGTACGGTGATTGAGAGGCCCAAAGTTCGTGGTGAAGGAGCGGAAGCTGTCAGGGACGTCGGCCATCAAAGCTTACATTCAAGGGCCGAAGGCCGAGGTGCGTTTACGACGTTGATTCATTCCTTCTCCCTCCTTCAGCTTATACGTACTTGCTACAGTACTCCGACTCTCCTTCTCCTGTTTTTAGTTCCGCGCTCGACACGTCATTCCCGAACCACATATCCGGATACTCAAAAGCCTTATGTCGCCTGTTGGACGTGAGCAACGCCCCGTTCAGCCCCCGTGTTAGATGATAACACGCCTGGAGCAGAGCCCACGGAGTCCCCCAAACCGCAGCCCATGGGTGGTAGCATGCCGATGATCTTCCTTTTCACGATGTGCACTTTATGCGCGCTCTTCCTTCTGTGGAGGCAAGCCAGTAGCTTGCGCTCAGTCATCTCTCATCAGTACGCGCGCACACGCCCTCTCTTCCCTATTTTCTCGGCACCCGGTCACTGACAAACCGCGCACAGATTGAAGACACTCTCCAACGAGGGCACTATTCGCTTAAGCGAGGATGAAGGGCCCTCGGCACGCGAGTTCTTGGAGGACAGCTATGACGAGGACAATGAGGGTGTGCGGCTGGAGGGTGCACTACAGACGCTTTCAGAACGCTTTGCCGGGGAGGAGGTGCCAGAGCGAAGCCCACCGAAGCCGGTCGAAGCGTCTGTGTGATTCGGTGCGTGGGTCCGCCAAGTCGCGGGCCAAGTCGACCAATGCCACTACAGAGTTATTTGTACGAACGGACTGTCACGGACTATCATATCTATAAATTATAGGAATTTTCTATATCGAAAGCCCCAGTGGACCACCACCGACATTTCCCCGCTGACCATTCACCTGACCCGTGGTCTCGCTACACTCAAAACGTGCACGCGATGACCGAACGACGGGCGAGATGCTTCTCTCCATCGTCCTCCTGCTCTTTGCGCCAGCGCTTTCTACCGTCCATGCCATCGGGCAGCGCACTTGCGTCGCCTTCCAGCCGTCGAAAACTGCATTCAGTGTCGTGAGCAACGGGAAGGCCGCGGCTCTGATGCTCTCCGCGGACGAGTGGCCCGGCGTCCAACGCGCTGCGCAGGACTTTGCGGACGATGTCCAGCGCGTCACTGGTGTCAGGCCTGCAGTCTCCAACGGAACCGCTGCACACTCTTCGCATCTACCCATTATCATTGGCACGCTAGGCAAATCGTCGCTTATAGGCCAGATCGTGAACGCAACCAAGATCGACGTGTCGAAGATCGAAAACCAGTGGGAGGCGTTCCTGTCGCAAGTGGTTACGGTCCCCGGGGTGGGGCCGGCCTACGTTATTATCGGAGCCGACAAGCGAGGCACGATCTTCGCTTTATACGACCATTCGGAGCAAATCGGTGCGTTGTTTGTGACAGATTTGCCGATGTGAGGAATTGCGGCTCAAACTCACAGGTGTTTCGCCGTGGTACTGGTGGGCTGACGTGCCCACGACGCGGCACGCCTCGCTGTTCGTCGAGCCCAGTGGCTGTTTCCATGGATCGCCGACCGTCAAGTATCGGGGCATATTCTTGAACGACGAACAGCCGGCCCTGCAGAACTGGGCGGCGGATAAGTTCACAGCTAATGGAACTGGGGCCACATTGACCAATTCGCCATTCAATCGGTTCTTTTACGGCCAACTGTGAGTTCTTGATTGGGCGGGAACTCTCGCCTCAGCCTAGCAGTGACTTGATCTTCGTTTCAGCTTTGAGCTGCTACTGCGGTTGAAGGCGAACCACATCTGGCCTGGTAGGGCACCTGTTTTCCATTCTCGTGATCTGCTGCAGCTGAATATTTTGTCCTCAAGCTCAATGGAGTAGTGCGTTTGGCGTCGACGACCCTCTGAACCAGTTCACGGCGGACTATTACGGGATCGTCATGGGCACGAGTCACGAGGAGCCGATGATGCGCTCGATTCCTGTCGAATGGGGACTCTTTGGGAATGGTCCGTGGGACTACAAGTGAGTTGCATCCGAGTGTTTGATGGAAACTGAAGCGAGAGTACAATCAGCGTGAATGCGGCTGCCATCCACGACTTTTGGGTTGCTGGCGCAAAACGCGCTGCAAAGTTCGAAAACATGTGGACAGTCGGGATGAGGGGCAACGGGGATGGTGTGTTCTTGCTCTGGATCGCCTTTGATTCTTCGTTCTCACCGGTCAACAGAGCCCATCGTTGGCTCTGGTCCAGTGGACCTTCTGGAGAAGATCTACGCCGACCAAAAGCAGATCCTGGCCGACACGCTGAACGGCACGATCGAGAGCATCCCGCAAGTCTGGGCTATGTGTCAGTCAATCCCTGAGGCAGTGCTCTCAGGAGTTGACGATCATGTATAGACAAAGAGGTCGAAGGTTATTACGATCAGGGACTCCAGGTGCCGGACTACATCACTATTCTGTGGACCGACGATAAGTGAGTGGCTCTGTTGGTTCCTGGTTTCCATCACTGATTCATGCAGCTGGGGAAATGTGCGGCGATACCCGCTCCCCTCCGAACGGAACAGAACTGGTGGGGCCGGTGTTTACTATCATGTGAGTTTGACGATGCGTTCTGTCGGCTTTTCTGACACTCTTTCAGATTGACTATGTAAGTAGGAACACTGCTACTACTATTCATCCATCTCATACGAGCAGGTTGGAGACCCACGCGACTACAAATGGATAGCGGCGAGTCTGATGATCTGCCTCCCGAGTCCCGTCTCATTGCTCACTTTTCTCCGCAGAGTTCCCAGATCTCCAAGATCTACGAACAAATGTCCATCGCCATCGACCGCCAGGCGACCCAAATCTGGGTCCTCAACGTGGGCGACCTCAAGCCCTACGAACGAGAGACGGAGTTCTTCCTCGCATATGGCTGGGACGCCAGCCTCTGGAACCCCGACAACCTCAACGACTTCGTGGTTGGCTGGGCACAGCGCGAATTCGATCTGTCCGAACAGGACGCGGACACAGTAGCGGGGATTGTGGCGAATGTGACGCGGTTCAATGCGCGGTGCAAACCAGAGCTGCTCAACGCGACGACGTACAGTTTGGTTGCGTATCGCGAGTGCGTGATCGACCTCGCCAGCGAGCCGAAGTGCTGACATCGAGTAGAGCAGAAACGATGCTCGCGGCATGGTCTAAACTCGTCAGCGCATCCACAGCTGTCTACGACAACCTCCCGTCGGCGGCGCAGCCGGCGTACTACGAAACCGTGCACCACACGGTGCTGGCAAGCGCGAACCTCGGGACGATGATGATCAAGGCTGGCCAGAACGTGCTGCGCGCGAGCCAAGCGCGGCTGAGCACGAACCAGCTCGCGGACGAGGTCGAGACGCTGTTCGAGAATGACTTCTCTCTCGAGACGCGCTATCACGCACTGCTAGACGGCAAATGGGAGCATATGATGGATCAGACGCGTAAGCCCTCGTTCTTTGTCGTTTGCGCCAGTGCCGATGATTTGAGTCCCCCCAGATATCGGATATGCATATTGGCAGCAGCCGATGACGAACTCGATGCCGCTGATCTCGCGAGTGCAGAAGAACAAACAGGCGACACCGGGCCCCATGCGACTTTCTCCGGAAGGAACGCTGGCTGCATGGCCCGGCGATAATCAGTTCCAGTGCGCGCAAGGATACAACTGCCCACCACCGTGAGTGTCGACCGGGAGTCCCAAAGCCAAAACGCTGGGCTCACGGAATCACAGGACCATCTCTATCGACCAATTCGACCCGATTTCCGATCGGTACATCGATATCGGCGCGGGGGGACCCACACCGTTCACGTTCACCGTCGTCAGCAACGCGAGCTGGCTGACGCTGAGCCCCAACCACGGCTCGATCTCTCCGTCGTCGAATCAGGAAGTGCGGGTGTTTGCGCGTGTCGATTGGACGAAGCTGGACGAGGGTCTGAGCACGGCGGCTCTCAACTTCACCGCGTTTGGGGCAGACAAAAAGGTGCTGACCGTGAATGCGTTTGGCTCGCCGCGGGATCTGGTGCAGACGTTCATCGTCGCGAACAAGACGACGCCGAGCGCCGGTTTCCAAGGTGCGAAGAGCTGCAGCCGTGACTTGAACGCAGACGCAAACGCTCATTCGCTGCAGGGTTCGTCGAAGCAGGCGGCGCCGTGTCGTTCGAGGCGCAGCATGCGACGCGGAACAACTCCGTCGGCGGCATGGTCTGGCGCACGCTGCCCGGGCTCGGCAAGACGCTCTCGGGCGTGACGCCCTTCCCGCGACTCGGCAACAACGAGAACAACTTCACCGCCGGCGCAGGGCCGTCGCTGGAGTACGACTTTTACACGTTCAGCGGCGGCGCGAACGTGACTGTCGTCACCTACCTGTCGCCGTCGGGCAACGCACTGGGAGCGGACCGCCCGCTGGGCTTCGCGGTGCAGCTCGACGACGCGCCGGCGCAGAGCAACTACTTCTTCCCGTCGGCGGCCCCCGGGTTGGAGCCTGCGCAGTGGAACGGATTCGTCGCTGCGGAGATCATCCAGACGAGGAACGTGTTTGCTGCGCAGCCTGGTGCGCATACGCTCAAGGTGCGTGTCTGTCCGGTGGGGCGTGAGGTTCATGTGACGATACGCGCGCAGTTGTTCATGATCGAGCCGGCTGTGGTGGTCCAGAAGATCGTAGTGGATACTGGAGGGGTCAAGTCGAGTTATCTAGGCCCGCCAGAGAGTCTGGTCGTTGGATGATGTGTGTTTGATCACACCCATGTCCTCTGTTTGCACTATTCGGATAGTCATGCATCATCCATGAAACATATTCCAAAATGTTACACATTTCTCTGGCAAAGGATCTGACTTTCTGATTGTCTACTGTTAGCCGATGGAAAGTGTATGGAAGTGGTTGCACAGCCACTGGAGTGGCAGTTACTGAAATACAAGCCAAACAAGGTTGCCGGCACCTGTTGCAAACCAGGATCAAATACAAAGGGTCTGGATTGAAAGTTTCTTGGGAGTGTTTCTATGCTCTTTTTTTTTTTTTTTGGTGGTACGAGCAGACATGGGACAGAGTAACATTGGTTACCTTCCCACGCGCTATTTGTAAAGTCGAGGGGCTGAGCCTCCCGGGACGGGCGAAGGTCCTAAGGTTCACCGCCCAGGGAAATGTACAAATACACGGAGTGGTATGCAACAGTGTGGGGATGCGAGCTCTTGCCCGCCCCCAGTCCTAAGGGACCAGAGGCGGGGGCAGGGGGTCTGCCAGAGTCACGCGACCCACCAAAACCCTGGGATTCTGAAGCCATTTATCCTTGAGTGTGTCGCCGGAGGTGTCTGTAACAATTTTCCTCCAGGTGTCCTCGACCAGATGCGGTTTCAAGGCCCTGCAGCCAAATTTACTTTTTTTGATGAGCGTTCGCTCGAGTGCGAAGCGGGATTCTATGGCGCTGTTCCATCTCCCTTCTATTTCTCGATCGGATGGTTCTTCTCCATCTTTTGATATTACTCTCTCGTTACGGAGTTTCCAGATTACAAATAGGTCCGCTCAATTCTTGGTTCATGAACCGGGTTCACGAGGTTTTGATGAACCCGACAGGTCCTGACAGTTGCCATCACGCTTAACTAAAATCGGCCGAGGGCCAGCAGAGATGTCTCCGTTTGAGGACAAACATGTATGATCTTGCAGCATTGGACCAAAATGATACTCGAGAGCAAGCCTAGACGTTACTTCAATTTACCTGACTCCCTGGCTGTATGAGCTTGTATTTTTTCCCAAGTAGTGATTCATTCCAATTGTGGTAGGCAGTTGAAAGAAATCCATACATATACTGAAAATGGGCCCTCAAGTATCCTCAGTTATTCTCCCTGTCCTTTCTTGACATGATAGGAACTGCCATGGATAAAGTTGCGTCCTGCAATGTTCTGCCCTCTGCCCTAAAAGGGGTTGTCTCCGTTGGCCATCAGTCTCTTTTAGTTAAGCGTGATGGCAACTGTCAGGACCTGTCGGGTTCATCAAAACCTCGTGAACCCGGTTCATGAACCAAGAATTGAGCGGACCTAATACTGATTCAGAGATAATGATATGGTGGAGTCGGGTGAGTCCCCTGGCTGTTTTTCCATTCCTTTGTTTTATCCGGGTTAGGCCTTCACCTAGGATGCGGCCGAAGGTTGGGGTGTCCCAGGGCTGGCCCGTGGCTGACCAGAGTTTTTCGGCAAGATTCCAGACTTGGTTTTGTCCCGCGCACTGGCATTCAAGGAGGATGTGGCGAAGATCTTCTGTTGTCCCGCAAGATGTACATATCCCCCTGTCTGCGCACTCCGGTATGTGTTTCCAGAACGTGCCTATCCTGTGCGCATCATGTATTGCTTTCCAGAGGAAGTTTCTCACTTGGCATGAGAAGTCTCGTGATCGTATCGAGGTCCAGATTTGATTTGCCGTTGGCTGGGCTTGAGTGCCGCGTGGGCATTCTCTCGCTACTTCTTCTAGATTCCGTTGCGTTGCTGGCCTCACTACTGGTTTTTTCTGGGCTCGGATCATCGCGTATGCTGTCCTCTGTGTGAGGGTGGCTAGTTTCACTCCTTCCGCCAGGAGGTCTGGTCGGGTGGTTGCCAGGAGACGGGAGAGGGGTGGGGTTGCTGTTAGGTGTGCCTGTTTAGCGGCGGCTGTAGCTTTGGAGAGGAGGGTTTCCTCAGGTGAGTGCTTTTCTGGTGTCTTGAACGTGACCTTGCCTATTCGACCACGGATCTCAGCCACTAGTGGCCGAAGAACGTTTTTATTTGGTACGTCTATCCAGCCTGAGTCTTCCCATCTGCTTAGATTTTGGCTGACTCCTTGGATAGTGGTGTCGTCCTCTATTACTATCTTCACATCTGCAGTTCTCGGGATCCTCTTTAGCCCGGTGAGTACTGCTAGGGCTTCCCCTGCTGCCCTCGATGGCCCCAGCTCTTCGGGGGTCTGGAAGGTCGTGTTCCGTGTGTCATCAGGTCCGAACCACGCTGCGATGTTGTGTCCAAGTGTCGGTGCAACTTTGTGGGCTGCAATGAACATGGTTTCGTGTCTATTTGTTGGTTGCTGCCGGAGCGGGACGAGGGAGCTTGGGTGGGAGGTCGTTTTCACACATATTCTGAAACCATCTGTTTTGTTGACCGTTGGGGGGAGGTACAGCTGTTTGGTGCCGCGGCCCGCCTCTTCTTCTGTCTCGCGATCGGGCGAGCTTTCAGCCTCTTTGGGAATCCATCTTGTCCCGAGCTGGGCAATCCTCGATGGTACTGTCCTTGCGCATGCGTCGGGATTCTGGCAACCAAGGGTGTTGCGATCCCTTATACACTGGGGGCAGTCGCAGTCAGTGTTGACGGGGTCGGGTCTAGTACTAGACCTAGACCCCGGGGTCTTGGGTCGGGTCTAGGTCGGGTCTACCCACCGACGATTTTTGGCACGGTCTACTGGGGTCTTGTCCCAATTAGGCAGCTTAGTCATAAAACACTCATTTTTGCGCACGTCCAGCAACGCGCAAGTAAAAAACCACTTATGTCGCAAGGGACACCTGGGACTCATCGTGGAGTTGAGGGCTGGTACTGGGCCGCCTTTGAAAAAGGTCCCATGTTCAAGACAAACAAGACAAAACGTGAGGCGCGCTGCCTCGGGGAGCTTAAGCTCAAGCAGGCTGTGTTACGCACGGAGCAGGAGAAAAACATTCGATTGGGCAAGCTCCTTCCCGAACAGGCTCTTGGTGTAGAAGCACTTCGGAAAGCCGGTAAGTCCTCATGTTGATCTCTCAAGCTTCCAATGTACTTACGGAACTTGTAACCGAAGCAATTGATCAAACACTGGCTTTGTGTGGCAAACCGGGCATCCTGAAGAAGCACATCGAGAGATGCGAACACGTCGAAGCACGGTGGAAACTCAAGCTGAAGAAAGAGGCCCCCGACACGGACGACATCAACTGCGATGACGACGAGGATCTGCAGCAGTCTCCGACTGCAACGGGATCTGTCAGTGTCAAGCGCCAGGGCACGTTTGCGGTAACTCAGGAGCCCGCTCTGAAGCGCTTCAAGGGTGCGCATCAATCAGAATTCGATTCCGATATGGGCAAGCTTCTCACCGTCCTGAACGCGTCATACAATTCCGCCACGCATCCGTTCTTCAAGCACTTCTTTGCGCGGTGGACACCAGGAGTGAAGGTTCCGGGGCGAGAACGTCTGAAACGATTTGTTCGAGCAGGAATCACTCGATGGGGAACACATTCAATGTCGACGCGGCGACTACTTCAATTGCAACCGGCCCTCTTCGATCTCATCAACCATCGTCTCGAAGACCTCCGTTTTGCAGGGGGATCTGATGAAAAGTCGCTCGCTGCTGCAGATGAAGTAATCAGTCTCATAGATAGCGGTCGAACAGGATTGTTCTGGAGCGGAGTTCAACGGTAGGATCGTCCAAAACAGTTGCTCCAATTGTTACTCAAGTGCTACTAGGGTTGACCGCTATCTGCACCCACTAGCCATTGCGTCCAATGTGACCCAGAGTGCGAATACGCGACTTGACCATGTTCTCGTCACCCTCGCACTTCTTGATCACCAGTACCGCGTCGATCCCACCTTTGTTTACACCAGTGACAACGAAGCGATATCGAGCAGCCTGCGTAAACGATGGACGGCACTCAAGCGGGACCAAGACCTCTACATTCTTGCTGTCTTCCTCAATCCCTTCCTTCGAGGGCACTTCTTCAGCTCCAGTGTGCATTCACTGAGCCGAGGTGGCCTCTTCGGTGTTGTTCGCCGGGTGTATATGCGTCTGTTCAAGATCGAAGAACGGAAGGATGTCCCAAGGGAACTCTTCGCAGAGTATCTTGCTTACTACGATGGCGAACAGAGGTTTTCGGCAGATTCAATGACCCTGATTGAGTTTCGAGATGCATTTGGAAACGAGGTAAGCACTTACCTCAACGAGTTCTCGTGCTCACTTGGTCATACTAGGACACGGTTGCATTCATGCACTCCGTGTGGAATGGCCTGAAGAAAACGTTGCTGGCCCACATGGCATTACAAATCTTGGCAATGATCGCCAACTCCGGTGCTAACGAACGGGCATTCAGTGTCATGGGACGTACTTACAGCGACAAAACACGGAACCTACTTGATCCAGAACGCGCACACAAAAGCCTCATTGTTCGTCGCGGAATCAATGAGGCCCACCCATCCCACCTACAACGGAAGAAGCGGCACTCCGGGTATGAGGTCCTCCGTCTCGTGGTCGAGACAAACGACACAAAGGTTCTCGACAAGCCCGATAGTGATGACGAAGAGATGGAGATAGATCGGGAGAACGACAGGGATCTCCCACGAGACAGTGTGGAGCGGCTCATGCGCACACTGCAGTGCTTGCCAGATGACGGCGATGCTCTGGACGACGAGGTTCAGGAGGATGAGATTGCAGAGGCGGCCAGAAACCCGCGCGTGACCCTCCACTTCTCGACCCCAGAGCTCATCCCCCTCGAGAAAATCTTCGACCCAGCTATGTTCAACACCGAATCTCCTTGGGGAGGTTCACTGCAGTCGTACTGTTTGGACAGTACGCAGGAATTCGAGACGGAGATGGAAGCGTTAGACAAGCAAGCGCCCGGGGATCCCTTGACCGTAGTCGTGGAGACTGATTAGTAATGAATGTCGTCAAATTTGTCCCAATTGGGAAAATAAACAAACATGTACACACGAGCTAGACCTTACTAGACCCAAGGTCTTGGTCGGGTCTACTCACTGTTGGAAGACCCAAGACCCTGGACCTTGGGTCTAGACCCCGGGTCTCGTCAACACTGGTCGCAGTGGGTACTCTTCTGGTGGGTTTCATCTTGGAGGCGTTCTGCTACTTGTATAGCGGATTTGATATCTCGCACCCCATGGTTTCGGCGCAAGCACCTGCAGCGTGCTGAGTTGTTACATTGGGCCTGAGTTGCATCTTCGCCCTTGTGGTGGAAGAGGGGCATCTCTCTGAGGAGAGTTTGTGTCGGTTGGACCGGTGCAAAGCTTAGGTTGTATTTCTTCGCGACTCGGAGCATCTCCTGTAGTTCTGCCGTTAGGTTCTTACGTTTCGGGGTCCATGTTTGTAGAAATAGGTTGTCGAAGGACTCGATATCCATCCTGGATGTTTTGGTTACTGCTTGCTCAAGTCTGCTATCTGCAAAATGTCCCCAGTCTGCTCGGGTCTTGGGGTTGAGGTCTAGGAAGGACTGAAGTTTGAGGACGGTGAGGGCATCGTTTCTCGCTTCGAGGTCCAATAGGTTTTTCCCTCCATGATTGACCGGTTGGGACAGGACCGCTCTCTGGACTGGGGAGGATTTTGCCCCGCCCCATATAAATTCTCTCTGGGCCCGGAGGAAGTGTTTTGTTATTGCTGCAGGCATACCATTTACCATAGCGAGGTATTGGGTCATTGAGCCCGTAATGATTTGATCTATATGTCTTCTAGCCTCTAACGTGGGGAATAGCTTCTCCCATCGTTCTTGGGCGGCATCGGTTTTCTCGATTGTTGGGGTCCATAGGGCAAAAGATTCTACATTGTTTCCAATGTAGCCTCCTAGGATTCTCACGGCTTCTCCATCTCTGGCTATATGTGCCTGGTCTATCTTGTCTGAGCTATCGGCAAGAGTTTGTGTCACAACGAGGTGCTCCCGAAATTCTGGGGTCCCGAGCGGGATGATTTCCGTTTTTTCCGAGTTGAACTTGGCACTCGAGGCAGCGCACCACTTGTCAAGAATATATTTTAGGTCTTTGAATTTATCTTCAGCTGAGAGGTATACTGTCGTGTCGTCAGCAAACATTTTTATTATAATACTCCTGTCTGCTCTGGGCACCTTTATGCCTATTAATTTCGAGTTCTGGATTAGATCAGCTAGGGGCTCTATTGCCAGGTTAAAAAGAAGGCAGGAGAGTGGGTCGCCTTGCCGTACTCCCCTCGTGATGCCATACGGGGAGCTCATTTCCCCGTTGATGACCACCACTGTTTCCGCTCCTGTGTAGAGGGCTTTAATAGTGGCTATAAATTTCGCTGGAATGCCTTGTTTTTCCAGGGTTCTCCATAGGTAGCGGTGATTTGTTTTGTCATAAGCTTTTTCTTGGTCAAGAGCAACTATTGCTCCATTCATCATCTGCTCCTCTGAGTACTCCACTATTTGTTGGGCCAGGAAGATTTGGTCTTGTATTTTCCTGCCCTTCATGAAGCCCGCTTGGTCACAGTTTACCAGGTCCGGCGCTACCAGGGCTAGCTTATTTGACAAGGCTTTTGTGAACAGTTTGTAGTCTGTATTTAGTACCGTGATAGGTCTGTAGTTTGCGATATCTTCCTTATCTTTCTTCTTCCAGATGGGGCACATCCAGCCCAATGAGAAATTTGATATCGCATCAACCCCTTTCTGTTCGATGTCATTAAAGATGGACGCTAGGAGTTTGGTGATGTTTACAGCTCTCTTCTGTTGATCTGGGCCTAGCGCCGCATTTTGCTTAGTCACTTCCAGGTGGATCTGGTGGAGGCGTCTCCACAGCTCATATGGGATGCCATCCATTCCGCTAGCTGTGCCTGTGGCCGCTTGTTTCAGGGCTAGTGTGACATCTTCTGATGTGAGTTGTTTTTGCAGCTCTTCGATGTTGTCTGGGTTTCCTCTTGCCTCTGTGAATTCAAGCGCTATCTCTATGTCACGGTCTTTTGTGGTGAGATCTTGTTCTGAGGGGTCTCGCTGGAGGTCTTGGTGGTAGTCCCTGGCAAGCTCTGCCATATCTCTGGAGCGTCTCGCCTCCCTGGGGGGGCAGACATCTGTACGGCATAGCCGGGTGATTGTGTCTCGGGGTGTCTTATCCTTACTGATTGCTACCGTGAATTTAGTTATGTGGTCCAGTTCTGTGAAGCATCTTGCTCTTGTCTCGGTTCTCCGTTGTTCTCTCTGTACATCTGATATTTTGTCGATCTCTCCTTGGATCGTGCAGATCCTTGCTGCTGCCTCAGCTTCTGTGTATGTCTGCAGGTCCGGCAGTTCAGCTCGATCTGGGTTGTTTGGGCTATGGGTAGCTTCAAGTATTTGGGCTCTACTTGTCTTGAGCATCTTTTTCTTCTCTCGTGAAGCACCTATTGCCTCTTTGGCTCGGGTTTGAGCATAGTTGCGGATTTTTGTCTTGAGGCTCGACCATTCGGCCTGGAGGTTTAGGGTGGGGTTGTCTGCATGCCTGTCTTCGAGACTAGCCATCTCGGACTGGACAAAGTCCATAAACTTTTTCTCTCGCAGCAGGAACAGTGGTACGGAATATCTGCCCTTGCCTATCGTGGGTGAGCCGGGCGCCGTTATGGTGACCGATACCATTCTGTGGTCGGAGAGTTTCCCGGTGCAGTCATCGATTGACCACTTCTGAGATCTCCTGAGTTGGGCATTGGAGACGTATATCCTGTCGATTCTAGAGTGGGTGTCCCTCCCACTTGTGTACGTGAAATCTTTTACATTCAGGTTTTCCCCTCGCCATCCATCAACTAGTCCGACAAGTCTTTTAAAGCGGCGGAGTGCAGCGGTGGTACGGGGTGCGTCTTCTCTACTAGGGAGTCTATCTAAGGGTTCCTCTACCATGTTCATGTCGCCTCCCATTAGGTCTGGCACGGGTAGGTCTTGGGTGAGCCAGCAGTCAGATAGGGTGTCCCAGAAGTTTTCGTTTGCCTGCATGGATTCTGCTGGTGCATAGACGCCGAGAATGGTGAGTGTTCGGTCGCTGTGCCAGGGTAGCGTGGCTAGGACTGCTCTGCCTGGGATCAGCTGTATTATTTTAACCCTTTGCGTGTTGGTGATTTCTCGGTTTAGCACGATTGCGATGCCTTTGGTGCTGGGGTCGTCTGGATCTGGTGAGTTGTGTATTGTTAGGCGTTTCCCAATATGGCTGTCCTGAATTTCTTTCGTTTGGTCTGCTGACAGATGGGTCTCTGAGACAATCAGGACTCCTATCTTCTCGTCAAACATCATGCGGTGTAGTGTGTGCCACTTGTGCGCTGGGTGGGAAATTGATGGTTTCTTGCGTCCGTTAACGTTCAGTGCCGAGACTCTTAGCTCTGAACGTGTGTTGCGTTTTATCTTTGGGTTCCCAGTTTGTTGTTTCTCGCGCTTTCTGTTCAGGAAAACTGGTGCCCCTTCTTCGTCTGGGGGTATCCGCGTTTGCACTCGGACTTGTTCTGGTCCCTGGCTGGGCCGGGGTTGTCTGATGTTTGGAGTCCTCTCTGTGGACTGGGAGCGGGTAGCTTGTGTGGCAGAGTTTACGCGCCTTGGGGTGTCAAGGCTCCTAGGGCACTGGCCATCTGCGGAGCCTCTTGCTTGTCTCGCAGCGCGTGCGCTTTCTGCTGCGCTTCCACCTCCGTGATCCCTGGGCCCTTCATCGGGGACGCAGCCGGTGGTTTGGACTGTCGCCTCTCTGGGTCCAGAGATGCTTTGATCCGTTCTACCGAATTGCTCACCGTTTATTGGGGGGGTTAGAGGTCTGTTTGCCGTTGATTTTACGGGTTCCTGGGACTCAACTAGATCTTCCAGGCCGGGCAGAGCTCACCGGCTGCCGCGGGGGGCCTGCAGGAACAAGAGAAGGCGGCTGCGACTGGCCGCATCCACTTCCTCTCGTTGATACTTGAGCCTCTCGGCACGGGTGGCCCTGACTTGGTGCGTCACCGTTTTGTGTGGTTTCCCCTCCTTTGACTTTCCCGTCCCGCAAGCGGTCGGTATATTTGGGTCTAGAGGAGGCAGACTTCGAGGGCGCTTTCCTGGTTCTTGTGCCTTTATTTGTGCTCGCCCCACACGTCCAGTCGCGGGGGATTCGCGCATCAAAAAGTCTGTCTTTGTTGGTCATTTACACATTTGGAATTCATAGCTTTGGGGTTGTGAGTGGCAGGTGGATTTGGATTTGGATTTGATGCGTAGAGGAGATGTACTAGTTGTCTAGAGCTTGGATACTTGTACGAAAGTTGTGCGTATACTAGAACTCGTAGTGGTCTCGGAGATCGCGGTCGCGGCGATTCTGTTTCCCACCTCTACCTCGGCTGTCACGGCCACGCCCTCGGTTGTTTGGTCTCCCTCCTCGGCCTCTGGCCCTGTCCGCAGTGTCGCGGCGGCTGTGGAGGTGCGGCGGGAGGTTGTCGTTGTGGTGGTTTCTGCCGCTTGTTTGGCCTGTGGCGTCGTTCCCGTTTCGGCGCCCGTAGAGGTCGTTTCTCATCCGGGAGGTTGCTTTCCACGAGTAGTCAATGAAAGCTGCGATGGTCTTACTTGTCGGTCCCGGCCAGCCCGCGTTGTTTGGGAGTTGGCAGAGTCCAGTCGGGTGGTCGGTGCCGTAGCAGATTTGGCAGTTCCAGCCGGTTTCCGCTATGTAGATTTGCCCATCAATCTCGTGATTGAAAATGAGCTGCCGGCTGGGGTTAGCCTGTAGTCGTGGTAGTTTGGGTGCTGTCCTTACTTGTTTGACCTTTCCATGGACATGCTTCCATCCCTCGTAGCTCTGGGTCGTCGGCGTACAGTAGATATTCCAGTAGACCCGGTCCAGGCCTCCCTTGTCGCGGACGGTGATGTGTTGGGCGCAGAGCGATGCCTTGACTTCTTCAAGGATCTCGTCGATAGGTACTTCCATGTTGTAGGCTTCGCGGTTCTTGTCGA